GCGCTACACCCCATACCACTGATGTTGAAGCTCTTTACATCTTCTCGTGTTGCATACTTGTTGACAATGATGGAGGATACGGAAGGAGATGGACAAAACCCACTGCAGTTGACGATGATAAAGTTGGGTTTTTGGATAGAAAATCTTCAAAAACTGGGAAGAGAACCACTTGAGCTTCTTGAATGGCTTCATCATGGGTTGATCTTGGTGGGATATAGTGTAGAGCTGGAGGAAAGTATTGGCCTGAACACACCAATACTTCGAGACAAGAAATCAACACTTTGTTGGTCAAGAAAGTGAACGATTTTTGCATGTTCGAGGAAAGACGAACAGGGTACCCTCCAGTGAGAACAATTGACATCTAATTGATAAAGGCACATATATTGAAAGTTGGATGAAGTCTTAATCACCCACCTCAATATAAAGGTAAAAAAATATCACATATATTCTATGAAGATCTATGTAGAACTAATCATTAGCAAACGATCAAGTACAACTAAGTTGCGAGTCCAATTAATGTCGTTAAGCTGCTAAAAGAGAGACCTCATTTCATAGTCCATACTCCATACATCTATATATAAACAGGATAACTATGAATACTATCAGCCCATGGGCCTTTATGGGCCTCATTGATAATGGGCCTGTTACACTCCCATACCAAACTGTTACACTTGGGCCCAGTCCCCATCCCCAGCTGCAAAACTCTGTCACCTTGCTTCACTCTCTCTTTCCCTTCCAAATAAGCCAACTCATACCACAACGAAGAAGATGACTGGTTTCCAAACCTATGTAACGTCATCAACGCTGCCTCAATTTCCTCCTGTTCTAAGTTTAACTTTTCCCCTATTTCCATTATCACCGCCTTCCCCGATGCCGGCAAGCAGTAATGCTGTATCACTTTTCTGAAGTTTGGTACGTAAAGTTCTGTTGATTTGTTCAGGAATTTCTTTGTAATTATGGAGAAACCATAAAGTATTTTTTCTTCTAATGGAAGAATAGAAGAACCCAGAATGTGAAAGTTTGACCTGAGTAATTCTCCGGCCACATGTAGCACATCTTTTCTAAGGGTAACTCCGGTGATGCCTTCGAAGTCTTCTTCACGGATGGCAGAGTTGTAAGCTTTGTCATCGAATGCACCTTGTGTCCTTAAAGAGTAGAGTAATCTGTATTTGGAATTCTTTTTGGCGGATGGTTTGTTGGTGATTAGAATGGCTGCACTGCCTGATCGGAAGAGGCAATTGAGGACCATCATTGACCGGTCTTTTCCTGCATACCAACCGTTTGATAAAATCTCTGTACTAAGGATTACAGCGTTAGAGTTGTTGTGAACTTTTAAGAGGTTCTGCACCATTTCAACTGCTAATGCACTCGCGCTACACCCCATACCACTGATGTTGAAGCTCTTCACATCTTCTCTCATGGAGTACCTGTTGACAATGATGGATGATAGGGAAGGAGATGGACAAAACCCACTGCAGTTGACTATGATAATATCTATATCGAGAGGGGAAAGATGGGATTTGGATAGAAGGTCTTCAAAAACTGGGAAGAGGACTATTTGAGCTTCATTAATGGCTTCTTCATGGGTTGATCTTGGTGGGATGTAGTGTAGAGCTGGAGGAATGTATGTCCGTTGACTTTGGCCTGAAGACACCAAGACTTTAGACATGAAATCAATACTTCGTTGGTCAAGAGAGTGGATGATTTGTGAATGTTCAAGAAAAGCCGAAAAGGGTACCCTCCAGTAGTTTGGTGGCTTAAAACACGAGTAATCTACAAGGTAGATTGCAGGAGAAGAGGATGTGAGGTAAGTTTTAAAGAAGAAGAAGAAGACGACAACAGTCGAGAGTACTAAAAAGATGGGTTCTTGTTTTCGATTGAGAAAAAGAAACGCAAGTAAACAAAGAAGGATAAACAACAAAACCTTGAGGGAAGTTGAGAGACTTGTGTGAAGTTGTTTTGGAAGTATAGTTTTAGGAAAAGAGTCATGGCTGAACTTGGAAAGCTGCTCCATTTTTGTGTGAGAAAAAGAGTGGTGATTACAGATGATCTGAAGTCGGAATATATAGACTCATGAATGGGCACATGGAGTTATCCACTCATCTTATTGATGGTTCGATTCGACCAACATCAATGGGAAATATTGATTTTTATTATAAAAACAAATTGACACCGAGATCATGGTCACTTGTCCCAAAATAAGATAAAACAATTTTAAACTCGATATCAATATATAAATTCGGGTCTCCATGCAGAGTGTTCGGTTTACAGCTCATCGCAGCATCAATGGCAACCCAAGTATAACAATGAGCTGCCCGAAAAGCAAACACGTTAGCACTCACTCATCGGTGGCGTTTGTTTTTTTTTAAGCGGTGATTAAGTCTGAAGTTTTATTTCATTTAATTAATAAGAATTGGTGTTGAAGTTTGAAAGCTGAATCAATAGTTTGTTTTTGTAAATCAGGTGCAAACATTTTGCAAATTCTTTTGATTTTCATAAAATTTTCATTGCCGAAATTCATTTCAACAATTGCTTAACAGATGGAATAAAGTAAGAACCTTTTGGATATCTTTCAGACTTCTAATGCTATCGTGAATGCTGCCGGTGAGTTTGTTTGTAGAAACATCAATACTTTTGACAGCGGATAAATCGTCAATAGAAGTTTTTGTTTCACATTAATTTTCTAAGCTAACCTATACGTACATAATATATATATATATATATATATATATAATATAGAGAGATAGAGAGAGATCTAGAGAGAAAAGGTGGGGACGTGCATTTCATGTGTGATGAAACGACAATGGTGTCTTTGGTGGAGAAAAAAGCAATAGCAAAAAAGAATAAAAGAAAAGGGGAAATAAAAGGAAGTAAGAGTGTCTAGGAAATAATAAAAGGACGTTGCATTTCACTGTTTGTTTTTATTATTATTTTCAGACTCTATTAAGTGATAAAATGCTCTGAAAATAATAATAAAATAAACAGTCTGAATTACAAAACGTTTAAACGAGTCAGACATAAATGGGTAATTAAGAGCTGAAAATGAAAAAACAAACAAGTCCTAGTTGTTTGATTTTGTAATTTTCAGATAACATTAGATTTGAATAATTTAAAAAAATGGGGTTAATTAAAGTTGTGGAGAATTGAAGTTGAAGTAGTTTATGGGAAGAGATAACGCTGAAAATGGGAAGCATATTAAATGAAGATAGAACGCATTGATGGTAAAAACAAACGGTTGGTAATTTATGGCAGCATTCATTAAACCATTTGGGTAACTGGAATTCTTAGCTTCTGTTTTTTTCATATTTCCAACCTCCAAATTTAAGAAGAAGAAAAAAAGTCAACACATATACTTCCTCTTTCCAAAAACACCCCGCCCCCTATGCCATACAGTATGTTAAAACCGAGAAATCTCTAAAACTCCATATTTAAGAGAAATAAATAATAGAAGACATTAAAATTAAATATTTAGAAGAAATAAAAATTTAATTTTATTAAATATTTTAATAATATAGTTATTGATAAAAATTAAATATTTTATTAAATTTATCGAATATTAAATTGGTCCTGCCCATGAACAAAGGCCTTATTTTAGGCTTAACTCGTCCAACCAATTTCTAGATCAAAGTGGACTAAACCACTTTTTGACTGAGACTATAATCGACTTTTAGATATTCGATAAAAAGACCGGGTGATGATAGACCAATTAAGTAGTAAGATCTGGACATTTTAATTAACTACTAATTATCAATAGGTGTTATAACTCGTTTTTTTATCATTAGGGTTTTGGCATCTCTAAGGCGGACTTTAGTATCAATAAGTGATATGGGGTATTGAAAAATTATCAAATCTCAAACACGGAAAAACACTTTAAAATTTCTCTAAAATTCGTACTTCTTGTTGGTGTTTTGATCTACTTTTGCTCTCTTATTCTTATGTTATTGAAGTCTTTGTATTCTTCATCGTCAAATGGCATCCAATGTTATCGGTGCTTCACCCCCCACCACCGATTCCGTTGTGCAAGTCATCACCAATAATGGTCGAGGTATCTGAAAACATTTCATCTTGGTGATTCTTGCCGGTGGGAAACGGAAGGTGCAATATATAAACAGTACTTATTTCTAATTATGGCAAAAATAAATTCGAGGTTGAGACATCATGGTAGAAATCTTGATTTGTGGTTAAAGTAGCTATGGATCTGATGCAGTGAACCCCCAAAGATGTTTATCCAAGAAGGGTTTTTGTTTGGAATTTTCAACAACCCTTAGGGGCGTTTGGTTCGTAGAATGGAATTCGATGGAATTGGAATTATCAAATGAATTTGACTTTGAGGGAATGAAATGGAATTTGATGAAATTTGACCATGTCTTTTGATTGCGTTTGGTTGGATGGAATTCTTAACGGAATTTGAATTTTTTTTGTTTCGTTCACGGAATTCAACGAAAATTACATAGATGACATTTCAAGAAAATTCTTTTAGGATGGAAAGAACGAGAGAAAGGTCGAGCATACCAGATCGAGCAGGGTGAATGAGATCGAACAGTTTTGAATAGGGATGGCAAAAAAAAAACCCAAACCCGATGGTGAAAACCAAAAACCGAAACTTTCGGGCCTGGTTCGGGGATATCTTATCAGGGATGGGCAGGAGATCAGTGACAATCAGTCAATAAGTCGTCATACTTTTAAAAGAAATTCAATAAAAAAATGTTGAAAATGAGATAACTAAAAATGCAACGGTTGTTTTTCTATCAATTCTATATTTCTATTGATATTACTATACACAACAATGACATAATCCCTTCAAAATCTTGATAAACCATAAAACACTCAAATGAACTTTCCGTGATTTATTGAAATTTAAATATTGGAAACATTGGTTAAAATTTCATTTTTACAAGTTCTTTAAGAGTGCTAATTTCAAATAGCGACTAAAATCACATTTTCAAAAATTTAGGGGTCAAGTTATAATTTTCTAAACCTTTCAGGAACACACAGTTAGCATCGGTATTATTTCTTTTTTCTACACAGTTAATTTCAAAGTCTTTTATTGGTTAAAATAGTAAACTATCATTTCTCACTTTTAAACAATCATCTTTCAATAATTCTATATATTTACCAGATTTTACTTTCTCTCACAGTTTTGTCTATTTTGCAAAACCTGTTGAAGCAAAAGGGTCTCTAAGTGCATCTCCAAAAACTATAATAAAGTAGTTTTTGGAGGTTTTTTGTTCCAATAACTATGAAAATGTATGTCAAGATAAAGAAGTTTGAAATCTCTAAATCTAAAGATCTTTCAAACTAAATATTGAAATATATATATATATATATATATAGGTGGAGGTTCAAACGAGAACCCCTGTGATTTACGAGAATGCGAGAACAATCTAATAACCTTAAACTTTTTTAATTAATAAATTAACTTATATTAAATATAAATAAATTAATAAGGGCAGTAATGTAATTAATTAATTCTATAATTTTTATTTTATTTTAATTA